CCCTCCCTCCCTCCCTTCCTTCCTTCCTTCCTTCCTTCCTTCCTTCCTTCCTGGCTTGGAACTTGCTATGTAGAGCAGACTGGCCTCAAACTCAGAGATCTGCCTGCCTCTGCTCCCAAGTGCTGGGATTAAAGGTGTGTGCCACCACGCCCAGCTCTAAGGTAGAACTTCTATTACTCCTCCCTCCCTCCCTTCCTTCCTTCCTTCCTTCCTTCCTTCCTTCCTTCCTGGCTTGGAACTTGCTATGTAGAGCAGACTGGCCTCAAACTCAGAGATCTGCCTGCCTCTGCTCCCAAGTGCTGGGATTAAAGGTGTGTGCCACCACGCCCAGCTCTAAGGTAGAACTTCTATTACTGTGCTAAATGGTCATACTGTCAAATTGTGCCTTCTAAATATTTATGATTATACCCACAGACCTGGGCTCCTCTCAGCCTTGGTCAGAGACGCTTCTTTTGCTGTGGGCAGCAGTCCATGGAGAGGTACAAAGAAGTCAAAATGCTGAGATTGAGGCTGAGAGCTCTGCCCTAAACAGGACTCCTATATTAACCCTACCAACAAAGCTTGGGGAACATGGAGAAGACTACAGGAGCTGGAGGATGAGGAGGCGGCTGTGGCATGCTGTCCTCTGGGCATGACAGGCCAGTGCACTCATGAACTCACAGCAGCTGTGGTTACCTGCGCAAGACCTACACAAGATTAACATTCCAGCAAAGATGGATACACAGTCTCCAGCCCCATCACTTACTGAAGAGTTGACAGTTGATAGTTGCTGGAGGAGGAGAAACATTATTTTTGAGGATGTGGCCACTGGTCTATTTCCCAAGCTCCAGTGGATGACCCTGGACCCATGCACGTATGGGTGGTGCTAACTAATCCTGGTGAGTTATCAAAAGGTAAAGACTTGAAGGGGACATGAGGGAAGTTAGAAGAGGGAAATGAGGGGTAGAGATGATCCTATTTCATTGTATATATGTATGAAATTCTCAAAAATAGAGAAAAACTTTAATTAGTTAATTAGGATCTATGACCTCTCCAGTCATGTGTATTTGGCCATGTTTACAGTGCCACACATGAGTTCTCTCCCATTGAGTGGGCTTTAAGTCCAATTACATAGCTATTGATTACCCCAAGGTAAAAGTGCCACTGCTGCACTAATAAAATTTGCTGTGCTGGTCATTGTCATGGTTATTGATCCTAGAGAAAGCCCTACATCTGTCACATCACTAGACCAACGCAATTTCAAACTGTATGCTAAATATGGATCCTTATATTTACAGACAAGTATCCCAGTCACCACTCAGCAAACAACTTCTTTTGCAACAGACGGAGACTGTTACAGAGTTCCACAGCTGGTCACACAGAGATGCCCAGCCCTAAGTGACATCTACAATGGAACACCTAAGGATCATGGAACACAGCAGAACAAGGGGTAGAGACAATACTCACACGTCTCTCAGCTCTCATCACTGAAGCTCCCTCATACACAGGGTGATGCACACAGAGGAACACAACTGGCCAAAGTGTGGCAAATGACAGACTGCAGGGTGCATGTCCCTGGATGGGACCCTGTATAGTAGTCCCAGGGTTCAGGGACAACTGTGGAAAAGGGGGTGGAAAGGTTTTAAGAGCTAGGTTTGGTGTGTGTCCATAAGGAAACAGAGTCTTACGGGTTCCTGAGAACTTTCTCATGTGATCTTACAGCAATTGTGACATGCAAACACAATCAGATAAAAACTAGCCTAGAACTGGGAAGTTAGCTGAGAAACTATTGGGAAGTGATCACTGCTAGGTGAGGGAGAACTGATTTTCTTTAAAGGAGTGAACCTAGATATGCTGACCAGGTTCCAATGAACTCACACCGAGGGACATCTGGGTACACAAAGTTGACTCAATAGGCCTTAACGTGTATGACAGAAGGCATGAAATCCAGTGGGGGGTGCAGATGGGGGAGGGGGCCTAAATATGATTAAGGTGTATTATATGAAATGCACAAAAATTCAATTAAATATTGATAGAAAAAAAGAATTGACAGAAAAATTAATTGAATAGATACAGACTTCCTCCCGTGTGTGTGTGTGTGTGTGTGTGTGTGTGTGTATGTGTGCGTGCGCACGTGCTCGATTCAACCCACATGTTCACTGGCACAGTATCAAGCTTCTAACTGTGGATTCCACATTTATCCTTGCTGAGTTCATGTCAACTCAGCTCCATTCAGGCATGGGTGCAGGTTTCCACGTTCATGGTCAGGGCTGCCATCAGCAACCTCTGTGTCAATAGCCAAGTGAGTCCATCTCAGTTTCTGTTTTTGATTTTGTCTTAAATCAGGAATAAAACTATGTTCTTGGGGCTGGAGAGATGGCTCAGCAGTTAAGAGCATTAGTTGTTCTTCTAGAGGACCTGAGTTTGAATCCCAGCACTCACAAGGCAGCTAACAACTGTCTGTAACTCCAGTTCCAGGTGCAGGGGGATCCAGTAGCCCTTTCTGTCCTCCATGGGCACTGTGCCACATGGGTGCACTTACATACATGCAGGCATAACACTCACACACATAAAATAAAAATTTAAAAAGTGTGATGTTTTCCTATGGTTGTGAGGATTGAATGGGCTAGTGTAGGTGAGTACCGATACAGATGAGTCAGTCATGGGTGTGTTCCTCCATCTTTTGAGGCAGGGTCTCACTCTGTAAGCCAGGTTGACCTCGAGCTCCTAGGGCTTTTCCTACCTCAGCCTCCTAAGTGTTGAGATTACAGACATACACCACTATACCTCGACCTTTGTTTGTTTGGGGGACTGGGGGTTGAACCCAGGGATTCACACATGCTAGGCAACCACCAACCTCTTCCCTCAGACAAGTCTACCCATCTTAACAGACCTCTCCCACCACTCCTGGAGGGTGGGTATGCAATCTAATGCTCCCATCTTTCCCATTGCCTAACACACCCCACCCCCAGCACAGCAAATATCCACTGTTTTCGGACTGGAGTGAAATCAGTATTATTATTGGTACAAATGCAAATTTCAGTGTCTATTTCAACCCGAGGCCAATATCTTTGTTCTTTTTGCCAAGTATAGGTGTAATGTTGGTCATGTTTCTGATGTTTAAGGTGTATATAATAAAATACACATACTTGACTATATAGATATCTCTCTTCCTATTGTGTGAGGGACTCGATCTTCAAAACCTTGCTTACTTGATGGCATTCTACACTACCTATTCTGACTTCATGTAATTAAAGCCCTTTTCCTTCCTGAGCAGAACTGGGCAGGTGGAGAGGTGTGCCCCCAGGCCAGGAGGTAGTCTGTTTCCACAGGAGGATTCAATTTCTTCCAGCAAGTCCACACTCTCTGGAGTCAGACCTCATAGGCTCTTTCCCAGCTTCTCTCTGTTTGCTCCAGAGGCTCTGCTAGCTGAGGCGTGTCTGAGGCTGGGGAGGTGAAGTGGGGAGGTGGTACAACACCCAGCACAGATAGCAGAGATGCTATCTGATGAGTGTCTGAGGCTGGGGAGGTCGTACAGCACTCAGCACAGTGTAAGGCCTCAGCATGGCACCCTACTGTGACCCAGGCACTGGCTGGTACTGAGACAAAAGGAAAGGGTTCTACCTTTCACAGCTCCGGCCTCGTCGTGCTTCTCGAAGAGCAGATATCGTGGGCTCTCAGGGAGGAAGGGCAGGATGGCCAGCTGGACCAACGCAGGGGCAGCGATCACTCCAAACAGGTATGGCCAGGTGCTGTCCTGTGGGGAGAAGAACCTGTGATGGACAAGGCCTCTGGTTGTTCTACTGGGGACTGTGCAGAGGCCACCCTGCTCAGCCTGTCCCCACTGACAAGGACTAAGGGCAGGAACCCAGCCCATGAGGCTACAGCCCTGTGCACACAGCGTTTCCCATTCAAGAGTCCTCGGGACGCAGTGAGACTGCCATCCAGGGTAGGTCTGGGAAGCAGGTGGCCCCTGGCAGCCAGGCCACTCAGGGGGTGTCAGGGATGGCTGCTCCTTCCACACTGCACGACCATAAGCAGCCTGAGCATCCCTTGGAGCTCTTCCCAGGCTCCTGTGAGTGTGCAGGCAGACTGGCTTGTGTGTGAGCTCTGTACCAAGACCCCTGCTGTGACAGCCATCACTTTCCTTCTGTCAGTGAAGAGAGGGGAAGGGAGAAGGATTTCCCAGCCTCTCTTTGGGGACTCTTTGGGGATACAGAGTCCTTGGGGGCATGCAAACATGTGCACCATTGACTCACCATGAACAGTGTCTCCATCCTGGTGCAGTTTAAATGCACAGGCTATCATGTAGCTCCTGGTGGCACCCTTCCCAGTCTTTGCCACCCAGCTTTACAAATCCACTCCCACTGTGCCCCCAGCATAGGAGTGTGTCACCCTGGGGAGTTCTGATGGGAAGAAGACCAACAGCACTGGGCTCCCAGCTGAACATGTGGCATGTTTTATTTCCCAAGATGGGAGAAGGAAGCAGCCAAGGAGAGAAGGAGCCGTCTGAGACCTGAAAAGATTTCCCACAGCGGGGGAAGGTTTGCCTGAGTCTTCAGGCCTGAGGCGTTCAGAATCCTCTGGTGTATGCACCTGCCTGTGTAACCTCGGCCCTCAGCCACCTGTCTCCTGTGATGGCTCTCAGGAGGGAGAATGTCCCTGTCAGCTCTTCTGAGACCCACTGTGAGCTCTGATGGTAGAGATCCCATGAGAGTTCCAATGCACCAGAGTGTAGCCATGGGGACCTCTACAGAGCTCAGAGCTTGTGGGAAGGGACCTGCCAGGGGGCGCCCGGCCAGCATCAGCCCAGTTCTGATCCCAATGTGACTCTGATGCTGCTCCCCTTTTTGTGACCACTTCTACTCATTAAACTGCACTAGCTCAGGGGCCAGCACAGTCCTTCCAGCATCCTTTGAAGAACAGGAGAGACCAATGTTGGCCTTTAAGTTTGGAGAGACCTGGGGCTGGAAGACCATGTGAACAGACAGAAATCAAACAGGCTATGAGGGTCAGGGGGAGTGAGCAGCAGGTGAGGAGCACCAAGGGACATGGATGGGCATCCGTCAGGAACCGTGGAATAGTCTGGACATACATAATAAGTCTCTGCTGGTACAACTTTGTGAATATACTAAAAACCACAGTTATATAACAGGATGAATGCCCTGGTACGTAAATTATTTCTCAATGAAAAAAATTCAATCCAGGGACTGGCGAGATGGCTCAGTGGTTAAGAGCACTGGCTGCTCTTGCAGAGGATCCGGGTTCAGTTCCCAGCACCCACATGGTAGCTAACAACAATCTGTAACTCCAGTTCCAGGGAAACCAATGCCCTCTTCTGACCTCTGTGGGCATTGCATGACATGGGTGCACTTACATATATGCAGGCAACACACTCATACACACAAAATAAAAATAATAAATATTAAAAATTCAAACCATGGTAGAAAAGTGGACAGAGCCAGTCAGCTCTTCCCATGAAGTTTCCACCAAGTGTGGATTGACATATTCACGAAAAAAATGCATCTGCGTTGAACACCACAGACTTCTTTTCCTGCGATTATCCGCCACACGATGTGGTGCAGCAGCTGTTTGTATAGCAGTTGCGTGGCATTAGCTATTATACTGAGTCTTGAGATGAGCTAAAGTGTACGGGTGGACGTGTGTAGATTACATACAAATAGCACACCGAGAACAGCACTAATAACCACTCACTGAAGAGGGCTTTGCAGCCTGGCCCCGGGCCACCCAGTGAGCGGTGAAGGCTCTACTCCAGCTACAACTGCCACGGACAAGTTCCCGAAATGCCATGCCTCAGATTCCTTGTCTATAAAACGCAACGAATGACCACGTCCAGTGCATTTGTGTTCCTGGGAGGGGCTAGGGGATGGGCGAGACTTGGCAAGGGGCTGCACACACTGCCTGATTGGTAGAAAGGGGCGCATCCTGGAGATCACCTTCCAACCTCCAGCAGCCTTCTCAGAGCCTTCTGTCAAGTCCACTGCTCACACATATCACTTGGAACACGAAGAAAGGAAAAGGCTCTCCAAGGCTGCCTCGCCCTAACGCGTGACTGAGCGCCCAGTTTTGGATCCCAGACAAGATGTGCCTGGGTGACCTGGGAGGAGCCTTCAAGGTCACCAGAAGCTCCCAGCTAGAGTCGGGCAAGCTGGGTTTGACCTCTTCCATCTGCCCTGGCCCAGATGACTGGCCATGGTGCTCCTGGGCATTGTCCCAAGTGAGCCAAGGACCCAGCCTCTTAGGTTGCAGGGAGGGCAGTTGGTGAGGCACACAGTAGCTGTCTGAGCCTCATTTGTAGGAGGAACAAATGGGGTGGGGCTTTCTCACAGGCTGAGGACTTCGACTGAGATCAATTGGAACTCCTAGAGGGCACCCTCCGGCTGTTTTAAAACCATATAATTCAAGGAAACCTTATGAAGAAAAGTACCCCATATTCATATTCTCTCTCTCTTCTCTCTCTCTCTCTCTCTCTCTCTCTCTCTCTCTCTCAGTGCTACACCCCCCCTCCCCCCATACATCTCTCTCTCTCTCTCTCTCTCTCTCTCTCTCTCTCTCTCTCTCTCTCTCTCTCTCTCTGTTAAATGCATGCATCTAGGTGAGAGTAAATGTGGGTGAAGACCAGGAACTAGAAAGGGGTCCATAAGAAGGGAAACAAGAGACTTTAAGGGAGGTGGTAGGGAGGGTAACAGAAGCTATGGGACATGAAAGGGAGGGGAACGTTCTGGGGGCCGAGGGGACGTGGGAAAGGGGGTCAGGGAACCTGAGAAGAAAGACCATAGTGTGAGGAATGAACTAAAACAAAGTATGAGTGAAATGCATAAGGAAACCGGCTACTTTGAAAGCTAATTAAACCAACAGACAACCCTGAGCTACTTGTCTAGGCAGGACCAAAAGTTGCCACCTCTGCTGGTCTCAGAGGAGTCTGTGGGGCCAGTTAGGACCTCAGAAGGTGGGAAGGGACAGGGAGGGGCTCCATTTCGTGACCTTGGCCAGTCCTTAAACCTGTTGTTCTTCTCAGGAGAGATATGGGTAGTCTTGTCAGCCAAGATGTTTTTTAATTTTTTAAATTTATTTTTATTTTATGTGTGTAGGTGTATTGCCTGCATGCATGGAGGTGCACCTGTGTTATGCAGTGCCCACAGAGGACACTGGATATCATGGATGGTTGTTAGCTGCCATGTGGGTGCTGGGATTCAAACTCACATCCTCTTCAAGAGCAGCCAGGGCTCTTAATTGCTGAGCCATCTCTCCAGTGCTCAGCCGAGACAATATTTAACTGCTCATCAAGTAAGGCATATGGGTCTTGCAATAACTCTTTATCTTCTCTATCATCTACAAGGCTTCCATCTTTAAAACAGACTTCGAGGTCCTACTTCTGGGCTGTCGATTCGGTCCTTTCTATAAACCACCTCCTGGACTATAATGAGGCAGCAGAACATTTTAAGTAGAGTGGGCAGTGTGGATAGAGTCAAGTTCTTAATAAAGGGCATTACAAAGTGCCCAGGCTCCAAGAGAAGTGGAGCAGGGGCATGAAGGTAACCGGGCCACACTGGCCACTGGCAGGACCAGCTTTGGGCGCTGCCCACTGTGGAAAGGTAGGGATGCTACCCTATCTCCGAGGTTCTTTGGGGATTCAACAGGATGATTTTCTCTATGTTTCTTCATACCTAGGCTCTGATTAAAAAACAGCTGATGTTTATATGAGCCTCTCAGTGAGTTCTGGTGCTTTACAAATGCACCCTGGTGTTGGACAAGCATGGTTCATGATGTCCTCAAAATACAACCTTGACCTTTGTTTCCTATGTTCCTTTAAAGTTGAGTCTGTGATATTTCTGTCCCCTGCCCATTGCAACGGTTTGGGTATGTTCTGCTCAGTCCTACAAACCAAGCAGGGTCCTTGCTTCAGTTTCCAGTTAGACATTTCGGCAGCCAGTCTAAAATAGTACCGACCTATTGAATAAGTTGAATGCCAAATCCTCCACATCCCTCTAAGCCTGCTTGGGGCCAGGATCCCACAGTAGGAAGGACTGGGGTGGAGTCGGATGGGAGTCTCTCCACTTGCTTTTCCCTTCTCTACTCTCTTCCTTGGCTTACCAGCCAGGGTCATAGTTCTTCAGAAGTGTGGTGGGGTCTCTGGGGTGATGGGCTTAATGCTGATGCTCTCTTCTTGTGACACTGTCCAGGGGTTCTGGGGGGTCCTGCCCATGGGATCCCCCATCCTCCCCTGCAGCTGTCCCAATGTGGGGCATTGCATTTCTCTTATGCTCTGCCACAGCCCCAAGACATCCGGGGTCATGGTTCTCGGGATGTCTATGAAAGTCATGGCTAACACTCAGTTCCCTGCTTTGGAGGTGAGTTGGAGGTGAAATTCACTCTCACTAACCCCCAAGCTGGGTGCCATGGGGCTGGTGTATTAACTATGCTGTGTATTTTATTATTTCCTATGATGGCTAATCTTGATTACCAATTTTATGGTATTTAGAATCACCATGGAAACAGACCTCTGGGTACATCCATGAGGGCATTCCTAGAGTAGACTGAGGTAGGAAGACCCATCCTAACTGTGGGTAGCACCATCCCATGGGATGGGGTCCTGGAAGGAATAAGCATGTGTATTCCTCTTCGGCTTCCTGTGGATGCAACGTGGCCAGCTGCCACCATACTGTCCCTGTCATGATGGACCGAACCCTCAAATTGTGAGCCAACAAAACCTTCCTTAACTTGCTTCTGTGGGGT